CTTCCAAAAATGGACTCTCCCCAGCCAGAGCAGTGGGTTGGGCAAGACCCACACCGTGGGCAAAGTGGGTGAGTGTCTCCTTTCAGCGTGGAAGGACTTCTTGGATTGGGATGGACAGGCTGTGGGGGCAGCCCCTGTGGCCTGAAGGATTTGGCTCACCCTTCTGCCCTTCCCCACAGCCAAGGTGGAGCAGGTGAAGTTTGACGCTACCACACTGCATGCCAAGCCCCAGATGGCTGCCCAGCAGAAGATGGTAGATGATGGATCTGGAGAAGTGGAGGTAGGGCAGCCATGAAAGATTGTGGGACCCTCTCAGGCACCCCCTTTACTATACCAGGACATACTGTGGGGTCCAGGATCTGCAGGGCAGGAGGATGCACCAGCTCTGACAGCAATATATCTCTGTCCCACCAGGTCTGGCGTGTGGAGGACAATGAGCTGGTGCCTGTAGAGAAGAAGTGGCTGGGCCATTTCTATGGTGGGGATTGCTACTTGGTGCTCTACACCTATTTTGTGGGGCCTAAGGTGAACCGCATCATCTACATCTGGCAGGTGAGACCTCCAGGTCACTGCCCCATGAGTGGGGGACAGGGGTGTACCTCCCTGGGCTGGGGGTGCTCTGCTCCTTGGGAACAGCATGAGAGTTGCCTCTTCCCAAGAGGGCAAGGGGGGCTGTGATGGGTGCTGAGCCCCCTCTGCCTTATCCAGGGCCGCCAAGCCAGCCCAGATGAGCTGGCCGCCTCTGCCTACCAAGCTGTCGCCCTGGACCAGAAGTACAACAACGAGCCTGTGCAGATCCGTGTCACCATGGGCAAGGAGCCAGCCCATCTGATGGCCATCTTCAAGGGCAAGATGGTGGTGTACTCGGTAAGCACAGGGATGTTGAGCCATGGGCAGGTGAGTGAGCTTGTGGCACCAGTGGTGACCTCCTGTCCCTGTCCCCCTCCAGGGTGGCACGTCACGGGCAGGCAGCACGGCGCCCACACCCTCCACCCGCCTCTTCCAAGTGCATGGCACCAACGAGTACAACACCAAGGCCTTCGAGGTGCCTGTCCGTGCCTCCTCCCTCAACTCCAATGATGTCTTTGTGCTCAAAACCCCCAGCTGCTGCTACCTCTGGTATGGGAAGGTGGGTACTGCTGGGCACCAGCATGGGTGTTGCCACCTCCAAGAGAACTGTCCCTACCTCCTCTTTGGCCTGGGCCCGTGGTGGAGCAGCTGTGCTTGCTTGGCAGGGCTGCAGCGGGGATGAACGTGAGATGGCCAAGACTGTAGCTGACATAATCTCCAAGATGGAGAAGCCAGTGATTGCAGAAGGACAGGAGCCACCTGAGTTCTGGCTGGCCCTGGGGGGCAAGTCCCAGTATGCCAGCAGCAAGAGGTACCAGTCTTGTCCCTACCCATGCCCAGGGATAAGATGGGCCACCAGTCCCCAAGCAGGGTGAGCCTCATTCCCATCACATTAACCCCTCTCAGGCTGCAGGAGGAGAACCCCTCTGTGTCCCCTCGACTCTTTGAGTGCTCTAACAAGACAGGCACCTTCTTGGCCACGGAGATCATAGACTTCACCCAAGATGACCTGGAGGAGAGTGATGTTTACCTACTGGACACTTGGGACCAGGTGAGCTGGAGGAGCATGGAGAGGGGGACAGACATTTGATCCCACAAGCTGATGTTCGTGGGGTTGGAGGACCTGCATCAGCCACAGTCAGTGGGATGGGAGGCTGGAAGCCTGCCAATATGTGGCCCTATGATGTTTTTTTCCAGCCTTCTTGCTTCAGGAATGCTGAGGATGGACTCCCAGTGTCCTTCCCCGTTGACAGAGCCCATGTGCCTCCAACCATGGCCCCAGAGGGCTCCATCTCACCCCAGAAGTGGACACAGTAACTTTATTGCAGATTTTCTTCTGGATTGGGAAAGACGCCAATGAGTCAGAGAAGGAGGCAGCAGCAGTGATGGCACAGGAGTACCTGCGGAGCCACCCCAGCGGGCGTGACCTCGACACCCCCATCATTGTGGTGAAGCAGGGTTACGAGCCCCCCACCTTCACCGGCTGGTTCCTGGCCTGGGACCCTCTCAACTGGGACGTGAGTCATGGAGAGGGTTTGAAAGACTAGGGAGTCCCTTTGCAGAAGGGACCAGATGTGGGTCTGGCCCCAGGAGCATCTTCAGGGTGTGGGCAGCAGCTTGCCTGACCCCTGCGTGTGGTGAGGGGCTTGAGCGCTTTTGTCTCCTTCCCAGGACAGGAAATCCTATGAGACGCTGAGAGCTGAGCTGGGTGACGAGAGCAGCCTTGGACAGCTCACCTCAGTAAGTGTCAGGAGGAGAAGGGCAGCTGGGCTGGGCAGGGGCACAGAAAACCCTCCCACCCCCTTGGCAGGTGACAGGAGGAGCTGCAAGGACAGATCCTCCACTGAGCAGGCACCTGCCAGCCTGGTGCCTCCAGCCCTGGGCCAGGCTCTGATGTGACTCTGCATCCCCCCATTCAGGTGCTCACATCCACACAAGAGGTCTTCACTGCCTCCACTACTCTTGTCCCTTCCAAAAGGGAGATCTTTCCCTTGGATGTGCTGGTGAACACCTCAGCCGAGGACCTGCCCCGGGGTGTGGATCCCAGCAGGAAGGAGGTAAGATGAGGCCAAGGGGCTGCTGGAGGGGGAGACAGGGAAAGCCCTCCCCCCTTCTTCAGCTCAGCCTCCTTTCTCTGGCCCCAGGACCACCTCTCTGATGAGGATTTCCAGGCTGCTTTTGGCATGAACCGCTATGCTTTCAGCAGCCTGCCCTTGTGGAAACAACAGAAGCTCAAGAAGGACAAAGGCCTGTTCTAAGGCAGGAGCCTGGGCACAAGGACAATCCCAGCTCTTTACTAAATAAAATCAGTTCGGAAAATAGGGCTGTGGTCTCTCCCCTCCAACCCCAAGGCCCAGCTATGGGGGTTATTTGGTTAAGAGCTGGCACACAGGGAGACACGGGTGTTGACTGGACACCAGCAGCACAGGGGAGGACTTCAACTCCTCATCCTCAGGCCTTCCTTTATCCTGGCTGTGCTCAGAGGTGATGCAGAGGCTGGGCACGCTCAGGGAGCCAAGGACTCTCCCATCCTGGCACCTGCAGCTCCGGGCTAAAGGTCCAGTATACAGCTGGAGCCACTCCTTCCCTTATCACTTGAACTGCAGTAAATACTGTGGTACCAAAGGTAAAGGAGGGGACACTGTGCCTGTGGGGACAGACACCAGGGCTCATTTGTCCTTGGACTCAGGAAGCGAGGAGGCCATCTCCCTTCTACTTGGGCTCTACAGGGATGCTGAGAGGCACTGAGATGTCCCCCATTGGGACACACCTCTCTCAGGGGGACCAGGAGGGACATGTGCTGAGGGGCACTGAACACACACAGGATGTTCCCAAGCAGCTGAGCAAAGTCCCAATGCAAAAGGGGATGCGGAGGTGCAATGCCCATCAAGAGCCAGCAGAAATAAGATTCCAAATCAATAGAGGGTTAATAAAGAGGTTTTAATTTCACAAAAATCTATCTACACATCATTTAAAAACGGGCAGGGGGAACCCAAGAGCAAAAACTGTAAAGAATAGAGAGGAACAGGTCTGCTAAAACACAGAGAAAAGCACTGCTCCACATCAACAGTGTAAAGAACCAGAAAGTCAGGGTGCAGGCAGAAGCCAGAGGCAGGCAAGGCTGAAGGCTGGCAGCAAACCACATGGACAGCAGCTGCCAGGGGTCCTGCACCCCTTTTTCTCTTTGGCGGGCAATCACAGGGATAATTAGCTCCATTAAAAACAAAACAGATGAGTTATTCCCAGCCCCCCTCCCGGATCACGACGTTCCCCACGTGCCTCGTGCCAGGGTGAACCCTAGCAGGAAGTGCTGAGCTGGCAATCAGCCCTTCCTCGAGTGCAGGACTGCAGGAAGGGAAGGAAGATGCACGGGTGATCTTATCTGTGCTGCACTGAGCAGGGCGAGGCCAGGCCACAGGTGTTGCAGAGCTCGGCTCTCTCCTCCCCTCAGTCCCACTCTGCTTCTCCAGTTGGGAAAACAGTCCTTGCTTTCCAAAGGCTCTTTGTGCAGCCCTGCTGGCCAGGGCTCCCCAGGGACCCGCACACAAGCTCCTGTTCACTGACACCAAACTCTGCCCCTCTCAGATTAGAGGTGTAAATCAAGAGCAAATTATTGGTCAGACAACGAAGGAAGCAACAAAAGGAACAGAGGGTTGGGAGTTTCTTGAGTTTCTGTGCTGAATCACACTTGCACTAAACTAGGTTGATTCAGAAGTGGGTAATGAAAGAGCTACTACATGTTCAGGGCCCACAAGTAAGCTTCACCTACCTCTACACAAGGACAGGTATCCTACATGGAAGGGCCAACCTTACTGAACTTGCCGCTGCAACAGCGTAATCAGTGGGAATGACACAAGTGGTGGGCAGCACATCCCTTGAGGATTACACACCTGTCATCCTCCCCCCTGCTCTTGGGCAGGGAAAAAGTGGCTTCTGCAAGGAAGGGGCTCTGTGGATTCTCCTGCCCGAGTGAAGGTGCAACTGAGCCATCATATGCCAAACAAAAAAGCTTAAATTATAGTATATGTCTGCAAATTCTTAACGACTAGAAGAACAAGCAAGAACTTGTCATAAAACAAGGAACGCTGGTTTCAAGCATCAGTTTTTGCACCTTGATCCAAACAAACCTGGTTTTAAACAAAAGTTACTGCACTGAAAAAATCAGGCAATGTTTGCTTTTATTATAAATTAACTGGAGTGCAGTGCCTTGTAAAAACAACCTTGCCACCCAAAAAAGCAGAGCTGACTTCTGATACTACAGGAATACCAGTTATTTACAGCACAAGCATAGGATGTGCTTGGGGAAAACAGGTTTGCCCTCTGGACGGAACAGTCCATCACATTCACAGGGTGATCAGTTCAAAGGACAACTCCCACGTCACCACCTCTTCCCATCGCCCAGTATTCAACCAAAATGAGTATTGACAATAGAAAAGTATAATGCTTTGTAATAAATTAACACACACCCACCTCGGGCTGCATCTCACCAGATAAACACTCTACATGTCTTCAACCAAGCCTTTGCTCCTGGCTCAGAGACCAGAAGACGCTGCTGTGACCAGGGCCCCTGTGCTCATCCCACCTAGGGACTGGGAGGGAGGTCAGTCTTCACCACTCCAGGATCCCCCAAGTGCTCGAGGTGTGGAGGACACCACGCTGTCACTCGGGAAGAGGCCCCTGAGGGCAGCGACACACCCTGCCAGGATAAACTCTAGTGTGGAAGTGCCCGTGAAAGGTGCCTGCTGTCTCCAAAATCGATGGTTTTGTCTGCTTTGCTGCAGCCGATTTATTCCTGAGAAACTCCTAATGATAGTTTAAAAAACTCAGAAACTCTCAACGGCAAAAAAGGTGATTTTCTTCTTTTTTTTCCTTAAAGAAGTCTTTCACTTCTAAAACTCAGGCTGCAAAAACTAGAGGCCAAAATAAGAGCAACTACTCTGCTTACAGCAACAACTTCTCTGAAATGAGTAAATGTCAGTGAAAGGAAACATCTAATTAAGCCCCTGCTTAATTAGTGCAAAGGTGCTGAAAAAAAAAACTTAATAGGCTTTTCCCCCCACTGCTGAAACAAGTTATAAAAGGAGCATCATGTTTCTAAACCCAGCAGAAAACATCACTTCTTCCTAACCATGTTCTGTTAATGAACAAGGGCCTTCCAAAAACTTTCCACCTGGTTTAGTTTCACAGTTTGAGCACTCTTGCACTCCTCAAAAAGGAGAACGGAGACACAGCTGCAGTACAAAGCCTCTTACCCTGGGGTAACACAAGACCATGGTAGGACCACGGTTCAATCACAGAGCAGTTCAAGTGCCAGGTGCTGCATAAGAAGGGTAATGCCAGAATGTTTTTTCCCCTCCCAGAATATGCAGAGGCTGTCGCTCACCTCCTGCCACTGCTCTGTTTGCTCCAGGTACTCAGCTATCCCAGAGTCACACTGGAGCAGCCCTAAGCAACACAGCTCCAGTGTGAAACACAGCACACCCAACGAGAGACCTTGCCTCTCCGAACGGCACTGATGCAACAACCTCGTAGAGAAAATGCAATCAAATAATAGAACTTGCAAAACAAAAGAAGTCACATATATAATCTCACGTCTAAATGGGGATGACAGTAAATGGTGTAAAAAAACAACAGAGCTGCCACCAGGTATCAATACATTCCACAGCACCGACAGTTTGTTTCCTGGAACCGCATGTAAATAGCGGAGCGCTTACAAACCCATGAATGTCACAACGCATCAGCTTGAGTGATTCCAAAATGCCTCTTAGCCAGATCACTGGCAAGAGCCTGCTCAGTGATCTGGCTTTCCAGTGAATATTACTAACACAACACACGCCGGGTTACAGTCTATTGCTTAAATTGCTCTTGGAGAAAAGAAAAAAAGCGCCAAGTGATATGTAAATCTTCGCCACTCACATCTCACAGGTGAATGGGCTTTTAAAGTCGAGTCTCTTTTTGCACTGTTTTTTAAACCAGTTTATGAGCAGCTGTAGTCTTGTGGCTTGTTACAACTCTTTAAGGCTCCATGCTGACAAAATCATTTGAGAAACATAAAAAATTTCACCACAGGAGGGTTGCTCTGGATGTCAAGGTTTAAACACGAAGTTCAGGCCCAGGACTTGCACAGATGGTTCAACAAACCAAGCGTCCCATGTTTCCACCTTTTGTCTCATGTTTTGGCCCTGAGCTGTTTGTTACTCCTGCGTGTCTGGCACAAGTTCAGAATCTTCCTTGCTCCTCAGGAGGAACAAGGTGTTTTAGTCTTCACAGAGGCTGACGAACTGATCTTCCTACTTCCATGCTAAGTGGCTGTGCATTTTTTTCTGTTTCTAGTAACTCGTCGAAAATATCTCTAGAATAGAAGGAGAGACCAACAGTGAAACTTTTGTACAACAACAAACCACTACATAAGATAGTTCTGAGGGAATCAGCAACTGGATTTACTCCACAAACTCAAGCATTACAAATCCTGGCAACGAGAGATGTCTTATCTGACATCTCTAAGCATGAGCAAAGACAGAAGAGGGTGACACAAACCTGCTTCAGTTCTGTGTGCCTGAAAACATATCATTTCTACGTACAAACCTCATTTTGGCCGTGTCCTGAGATGACCATGGCTGCAAGAACACAACTGTTAGGATCAGGGTAAGAGCATTTACAAAAATCACAGCACTTAAGAAAAAAAACAAAGCTCCATTATGATTCCTGGTGTAACACATGCACTGAGACACTGAATCCCGTTCTTAAAATACAATTTAATGCATTTGTTAAAACACTATGTATTATCGACATGCAATCGCACATCTCTGAACTTAGAGCACTTCAATTTCATCATTCTGGAGACATTTTTCATCCCAGCAGAGGACCAGAGGAAGAAGAGAAGCCCACTTCCTCACAATCAGCAGGTAATTTCTAGGACCAAAATTCCCTGAGACACCTACTTGTGCATGTAGAAGAAGATGTATCCGCTTCGGTCTCTGTCACACTGAACGGTGGTCTCCAGAGTTCTAGAGACTTCCAGGTCATTGTAGGTGAACCAGGACTGCTTCTTGATATCATAGACATCGCTGATGTAATGACCTTAACAACAGAATCACAGATTGGTTTGGGGTGGAAGGGACCTCAAAACTCATCCTTCCACTACACCAGTCTGCCCAGAGCTTTCTCCAACCTGGCTTCGAACACTTCAGTTCTGGGAATGGGGTAGCCACAATTTCTCTGCACACCTTTCCATGCTGCATTTCAACCAGTGAGCTGGTTAGCTAGGTACCCTGGTCCAGCCACCTGTGTCAGATTTAAATGCTAAAAGAGCCTTAAGATCCTGGTCCCTCAATCAGCTGGTAACAAGCACAAGCAATTCTACAGAGCCCATAGGCCGTAGGTTTCCCACGTGCTGTAGTCAGGCACCATGATATATCCCCTACCTGCTCCCCCATCAGCAAGTCATGACAGAAGATCTGCTTTGCTGCCTGAATTCTTCCTTGCAAATAATCCTGTTATGGTAATTCTGCATTACAGATTTTTCAAGCTAAGTAAGAGATGAAGAATAAAATGTGCCATTTTTTTTACCTGAAGATGATGTGCTTCCAATATGGCTGACAATGCTGATGAGACGATAGGAGTGAGGAAGCTCTCCTGTCTGGGGAAAAAAAAAAAAAAAAATGTACAATTTAAGCTTTTTTCCCCCCACATAGCTTATGGACAAGATGAATTCTACCTGAGATATCAACTTTGGCTACTGTATTCAAAGCTGCAACCCAATGAAGGATTACAGAAATAGACACCCTGGTTCACACCTAACAAGGAGTCCTTCCAGAAGTGGGAAATGTGTATTTAATCTATCAGCAAGCCAATGAACATGGAAAGAAGTGTCTCTGACCTCAGAACAGATGCTGACATGAGCTCTACCCTGCAAAGTTTTCTAAACAACCATTTCCTGAGCAACTTCCACTGATGTCAGAATTAATCCAGCAAATAAACAGAAAAGCCAAAAAGGAAGACCATGCTTACTTCTGAAGTATCAAAGACATACCACTGATAATGGTACAGAGATTTAACAGCTAATACGGGACATGTAGCTCAAATTCTCTTGTCCTGCACCTGTAATGCCAGTGGACAACACCCTCTTTACATGCAGGAAACATGCTCTATTCAATGGCTTTTGACAATTTATTTTTTAATACTCTCTTGACCAGGAAATGTTACTTACAGAGTTCACTGACAATACTGTTAAAGAGAGTTTGTTAGAGGAACTCAGAAGGTCTCTGCAGCTGTTTTGGTTGGGTTTTTAATTTTTTTTTTTTTTTTTTTGTAATTAAAATAACACTGTAAGACTTACAGATAGAAATTTTCTATGTTTTCACCTTAGAATATAGAAGATCTTTCTAGCCTCTGCACCTGCTCTGTAAAACTACCTTCAATAATATAAAGAGTAACTATATTTCTCAGCTGGCTTTTGAAATCATGGATCACACCTCAGCATTTCTTTTCAGCTCTTCTGCTTCAGCTTCTGAATATTCCATGTCCAGAACATCCTCATTCCCAGAGTCTTCATCAGAGCCAACGCTGTCCAGGAGAGAGCTGTTAAACTCTAGATATCAAGGAAACAATGATAACTACATGAGAAGCTGTGGACCACACGGATATTTACAACAGGTTGAGGTATATCTACCCACATAAACAAGTGTAATAAAAATTCAAGCCTCACTTTCAAGGAAAATAGAGGATACTGGAATTTCCAAATAAAACCGCTTTCCTTTTCCAACTTGTCGGAGCAACAGTTAAGTATTTTGTAATTAATTTTAGCACCATCTCCCTCTTACTTTTCCAAAAGGCAATGACAGCTGGGTGATAAAAGAGCAGTTAACACTCAATTGGCTCTGGAGCACCAGTGGGCTGCAGACAGGACAGACAGCAAAAGGAGAACAACTAGTCTGGTCAGTGAACTGCAAGTTCCTGCAACGAGAAGCTATGAATTACAGTTTTAACTATAAGTTGCATTAACACAGTGCATTTTTGAATTAAAACTGGCATCAAAATGCTACTGCTGGCAGCAGGCATCTCTTCATTGTTTTCAATGGTAAGAAGGCTGCTCACCACAGGAACTTCCAGTTTGCTTGGCTGAGCAAAATGCACGCAGCTTTCTGTAAAGAGCCGGAAGGCACCACTGCTCCCTGTACATGCTGTTCCAAACTTCCCAGGGCTCTGCAGCTACCCAACTAATTTAAGATTTTGTACAGTTCTCATTAGGAGAAGTAGCTATGCTTTCACCAGTTAAATTAAAGCTATGGAGTCCTGGGTGAATGAGAAGTTGAGATTAACAGAACACTGCTCAGGAATTTTTTCTCATCTGTTTTCAAGAGACTATCACACCAGCTGTGATGGAGCTGTTTTGCCAAAGAGATTCTCACACTGTTTGTCCTGTTAAATCATCAGTAACTGGATTAATATAATCTTCTTGGGAAGTTTACAGACGACTCCCTTACTTAACTGGGAATCCTTTACTGCTGCTTTCCCCACTTCTTTGGGCTGTATGGTAGACCACAGCCTAGAAACACAGCCACTTTGGTAGGTCTGTGCATGAAGCACCTGCCACAGGAATTGCTAAAGGCCACTTCAACAGTGGTGCCAGGATGACTACTGCTTCTCTGCTTATGGCATCACTGGGATGCTTCATAATGCGACCAGCTCTGCATTCAAGGTTATGTACATCTTCTTGAGCGACTGCTTCCTGATGCCTTAAAAACAAGACAGTAGCAAGGAAATGCTTGTGTTGACGTCATGCAACTACAAATCAAGGGGATGAAATACCTCTAGCCTTGAATTCTTCCTGGATATGAATCAAGGAAAACTGGAGAAGGACTGGTCACATAGTTTGCCAGAGCTCAGAGTGAGGGATGCCTAAGCAGCATTCAACTTCTCTTCAGGAGCTGACACAGGTTCATCCAGTAACAACTGAGGGCCTTTAAAAGGCCCTGAGCAACTACAAGTGTCTTAACACAATACTTTATTATGCCCCCCCCGCCCTCGCCTCTTCAGAGCAGTAATTTTCTCTCAGTTATGCTTTGCTCTGCCAGATTGTATGAAAACCACTTGCATGCCAGCCTCACACAAATGTTAAACAGTGCCTGAGGAGGCCTACAGCACTGTCTGGATTTGGAGGAGACAGATAGTATGTTTTGGGTTTCTTTCTTCACCCTCAACAGCTATATCTTGCAGTGAGGTCTGTCCCCCTCCCATCCCATATCTGATAGAAACAGCACTGATTCATTTTTCCAGGCAAGGTTAGGGCATTCATTAATCAACCCTAAAATACCAATGCAAGTAACAAATAATCCTTATGTTCTGACTAGGGCCATTAGCATGCTGGCTTTGCTGGGAATACAAAGTTTCATGATCCACTGTGCTTTCTCTATGCGTTGCTTATAATGTATTACACACATCTCTTTATATATCCCTACATCTAACTAAAAACTCAAAAGACTGAAGTAAGTAATTTTTCAGTTTAAGTTTTTCCTGGCATTTGCTTTCACAAGCAAGAACAAGAAAAACTGACCTTGAGTGCCAAACACAACAAAGTACACACCAAAAGAACATGAATCCCAGCTGTCTTGCTGACAGTCAGGAGCTGCACTCATACACAAATATTAATTTTCTCTCAAAAGCTGGAAGAACTTAAATAAGTTTCACCTTGTAGACTTAATTCCGTGGCTCGTTTGAGGTCATCATCCTCTTTCTGTTCTCGTGCCTCCTAATGGGGAGAGAACAAAACTTAGCTCATTGAGACATTTCACTGTTTAAAATTCCTGTGGTGCTCTTTTTCCATTGAAACTGCGCTGCTCTGGTTTCTACAACAAACTTGACATTGTAAATTAAAGGTTCTGTGTGAAGGAATGTTTGCAACCACCGAGAGTCCAATGTTCCCGTGCAACAGAACCTGGGACAAACCTTCATTAAGGCTTGTCAAAGCTCCTGAAGTTTGGTATGCAGCAGAGCAAGTCTCCAGTAACACCGAATGCTTTCCCTGGATCATTAATTTGAGAAGTATCTGAATGAATTTGCAACCCTGTGCTCAGGAAAGCTGTCACTTACACACAAAGCTCCTCACACTTTGGCAAAATTTAGTCTACTTCTGACCAAAGCCAGCTGAGGACATGGCCATTAAATCCTGACAGATTTTGTTATTTTTAAGCCATTTGAAAGTGGAGCCAATGGTTGTATGTAACAGGTGTAATCCACAAAGGTAGTATGCAAAAAGACACCACTCAACAACCAGGTATTAAAAATATTACCATGACCAAGAGCAAAGAAACCTCAAGTCAACAAACACTTCTAATGTTTGGATAATATCATGGCCCTATTCTTCCCACCACTCCTGAAAGCCCAAAGCTACAAGAAGCCAGTCAATAATACTTCATGAGCTGGCTTCTTAATATAGAGTTTGAGTGCTTTCAGCACACCTGAATGCAGCACCCCAACTATGTATTTCAAATCAAGATAACCACAGCTACTGCATTTCCATGCCCAAACCATTAGAATAGCAGATTTTTGCTTCAGAACTGTAGCAGTAACACACTCAAAGGGCAGTTTTACATTATTAGCATGAGGCCTTTTATCTCACTATTTCTAAAGGATTTGGGAATCTTTGTTAAACTACTGAGCACTGATGAATCAAAGCTACATCTGGTATGAAACATACCAATCAGCACCTTATAATGAGTAATGGGAGAGAAAAAAATCCAAGAGCCATGGAAACATCAGATCTCATAAGGAAAACCATGACAGCTTTGGTATTAATAGAGAGCCGACAAGGGCACCTATTTAAAGGAAGATCTGGCTCAGTGCTTGCTTTATTCTCTGCTGCTTGGTTAAACTTGTAGAAATCAGTTACAGGTCTTGCAATCCAAGTGGAATACAGATAGTTAGCACACAACTCAAGAATCCCCTTCTTTCCAAGCCTAATTTAAAGGACTTGTTTTTAACTAAATTTTTTGGGATCCTTTTTCTGCTTTACTAACAGGGAAGGATCTCAAAGGCTCAATTCCTTTATTCTTCACTAAGCATCCCCTATTCACTAGCACCAGAAACACACCTAGGATAGACACATCTTTGTCCTGACCTGACATGGCCATTCTTAGCCTTGTCTTTGAATGGCCTCTTAATTGAATCTTGACAGGACACACTGCAAGAAACAACTGCCAGAGAAGCTTAAGATGGGCTGGGATCTTGATGTCAGAGAGGAAGAATTTAGTTGAGGTTATCATAGCTTTTAATATATTGTGACAAACCAGTGCACAAAAGTGCATGGGGAGCTCTGATAAATCTGTGGGTCTGTGATGTGATCAACAGTTTTCAAAGCACTTAAAAAATGTGCCCAGATGTATTCAGCATCATCACTCTACTGACACTGGAGCTAGAAGAAACCTAACCTTTTTCCATTTGGTTATCTAAAAAAAAAGCAGAATAATTGCTTTGCAGTTGCTGCTTGAATGCAAGCTTTTGCTTTAGTTTTCAGGTTTCCAATGTTAGGGAAGACAACTTAAGGAAGCAAACTATTTCTTACTTGCTCTTGAAGGCTTTGAGCCAGTGCCTGCTGAAGTTCTTGTTCTTCCCTCTCTCTCTCCATATCATACTGCTGCAGCCAGTCAACCTCCCCTTGGGAGCCTTCTGGAGTTTTGTTTTCCTTATTCTCATCAAAATCTTTAGTTATCTCAGTGAAATTGGCAGGACCTGAGGAATCACAAAGCACAGTTTATACTTTCCTGGATCTTCCGTTTGTTACCAGCTAAGTTCTCTTTAAATCACCACAATCCTTGCAGCATAGTGACATCTATTGACAGGGAGCTCACCTGGCATGAAACACCCACACGAGTCAAACGGAAAAAGCTCCAAAGCACAGTCTTATACTCATTTTAACTGGTGCAAAATGAACCATTTGATTAATCCCCGAACCTGTTCTCTTCTTAGCTTTTTATGTTCACTCAGAAACAGCAAGTTTAACTACAGAAGTCACACATCACTAGGTTTCTGCAGCCATGAATTTCTGAATTTCTCTATAAGAAACCATGGATTATAAAAATTTACATTGCATATTATACCTCAGAGTACTACAGATGAAGCCACAATAAAAGCCAAACCAAATGCAAGATGAAAAAAAGCACAAATCTCAAGCACTGTTTAAATGTGCTACTTTTAGCTTCAGCTAAGAGCCTCAGTCTTGTGGACACTACTTACAGCTTTAAAGGTGCATGAAGATTATAACTTTTTAGTTCACTTTTGAAGTAAACACTTCGGCAGAAGTGCTTTACAAAACATCTGAAATGAAAATTCATTCAACTGCTGTATACATTTCTGCAGTTGCAGGACACTTTGATTCTTGCTTGCAACTAAGAAAGCGTCAGAACTTGCTTCAACAACTATCAGGCAGCAGCATGTGAAACTTCATGGTTTTGTCCTGGGCAAATTTCAACATCTGATTAGTTATTAACAAGGACAATACAAGGCACTTTCAGTTTCTGCAAACCCTCAAACACAGGACCAACAGCACCAGAATCATAATCCATCAGTCTAATCCTTTTAGGATGAAAAAACTCCAGAATTTATTACATGAACTTTGAAAATTTCTAATGTAAGTTCTGTATTTCTTCTTATATTGAACACATAGTTTTTGCTTAAGAGTCACAAAAGAGCCTTCAAATAATTACACTGAACTTTCCAAAGAAATCCTGGACAGAAATATGTTTATGTGGCCACATTGTAATCACAACTCTCTCTCACAACACCATAAGCAATGTTACTGTATAAAAAGGGGGGCACAAAGAAGGCTGATCACATGCCTAGTATACAGTATTATTTTTATTCACCTCCTTCCACCATCAAGCCTGGCAAGACCTGTCCATTGAATCAAGTGTCAGTTTTGATAACAGTGGTATATTCTGTTGTTGATTAACCTCCTGGCTCTTAAGAGGACAGGAGCACATTGTTGATCTCTTTTTCCATGGTAGTGCAATTAAAAATCCAACCAAAACCATGTAGCACACAATTAATGATAAACCACTCATATTTCCTTCAGCTGGCTAAAGGAAAACTCAGCTTCCCCACGCTGAGATGACACAGGCTCCTCCTTGTACTTAACCAAGTCTCTCTGTCAGAGGCCATAATTCACTTGAATCGCTTAAGCTTAGAAGTCTACTCACATAAAAAGCTTTAGAAAAAAATACAGATATAGTTAAATTCATTAGTAACTAGTGACAAAATAGCTGCATTTTATGAAGGCATTCTAGTCTTATGCCATGTGAACACTGCTACTGTGGTGCCCAGGCTACAACAGCTAAAGAAATGAAAATACTTTCTGCTTATGGAAGAATCAGCTCTAGACATGGCCAAATATTAGGAAATTGAATTGTCTGGCACAGGAACCCGTGAAAGCATGTGTTAATCAAGAGAGGAACAAAATGGAAATTAACTTTGAATAATGGAGGTGACAGACTGACAGGAAAATACATTTTCGGTTTGATGAATTAAATGCTTTATACACAGGAAAGTTATAAAGTTTAAGTTCCTAAAACTCTGACTTGCATCCAGTTCCTACCATCAGCCATTACAAACCTGATGTTATCAGTAACCTGCTTTAGCACACTAGAGTCCAGTTAAGATCATTACCTTGCCTTACCTGAGTCTAATACTGTTTTGGGTTTCTCCATCTCCATAGATTCCAGGTTTTCTGGCAATTCCTGAATTTCATCATCTCCAAAACCGGTGTCTGGGCTGCTTGTGGGCTTATCTTCATCATGGCTCAGAGACAGAGAAGCTTCCCTTTTGCTAATTTCTAAGACAGCTGCTAGCAGCTCATCTTCACTCATCCCATCAAAACCAGCATTACCCAGCTCGGGTTTATCACCCTCCATTTTACTTCTTTTTGAAGCCTAGAGATGAATGGAGTTATGATTAAGTCTTTGAATAAACAGGTATGTAACATCAGTTTTACATTTCAGTGGAGATTTTTTTTTATTAACCTCAGGGAGTGGGAGCTTGGCACTGTCAACATTCAACATTGTTACATGAAACTCAGTGGAGAGACAGCCTTTGTAGCAACACTTACTCCACAGAATAATATTTAAATATACTCTATAACCAGTTTTTAGAGGCCTTGTGGATTAACATACACAAGATAACTCTTCCCTTCTCCTTTTCCTTCAAAACATGTTTCCCCTTTAGGTTCTGATGAATTCTCAAGCCTCTGGCAAGTCAATGCTAAGATATAAGCAGGGAAATTGCGAGTTTGTTAACAAAGGATGAAGCAGCAACATGAGAGTAACTGAACTCAAATACAGGGATGGAAGAATAGAAACTGAAATTGAGCTGGTATGAAGAGTAATTAAGATCAGGTTTTGTGCTGCAGATTTGCCATATGAAATCTCAACGTGAGTAGAGGGAAGTGGGCAAGACTTGCAAAGCAAGTAAGAAAACAGTTAAACAGGGAAAGGGGGAATTATTCTTTCCCAAGGAGAACAGAATGATTTGCAATTGGAAGAAAGAAAAATCGCCTTAGTCTTCACCTCAATTTTCCTTTTTATAGTTCATTTTCCTAAAGCTGATGCTCATCAACTCCTACACCACCGTGATTTGCAAATAATATATTAATTTAAATCATTTTGATATTACCTTTTAATCAGGAGGTTAACCTCCACGTATGCATGTTTACACAATTACACTATTTACCATATGCTTAGAACTTCTTTTCCTATATTATGTTAAAAATGAGGTAAGATAGTTTCTATTAAAATATACTTATCCAGGTCTTATTCAAAACTGCATTAGGATGGATCCCAGGAATTTGTTAAAATGAACAAAATTATGCTTCTACTGCTGCTTTTTACTCAAATACAGCAAACATTTTGTATTAAAACTGCCTTATCAAACAAGATTAGCAAATGAATTAGCCAACTAAACTGCTTGTTCTAGACACGTTGCCCTCCAAGAATTAGAAGTGACAAATTTAAACCTCTCTCCTCACAGCTATTTATGCACTGAATAAGTAGAGTACCTGCTTTTTAAGCTTTCTGATTTTTCTCTCTCTGCACCTGTAGGCTACCAACATCAAAACTGGTTTAGCTCTTCAGCAAACCCTAGTTCCAGGCTCTCTGCCAACAACTACCACTAATTCAGTGGCTGGACTTTAAAGACTTGGCAGCATCTGTGCATTATTTGAATACAACTTTTCTACTAGACATTATTTGCATAGATTTTAAATAGCTTAGGCTCTAAGACAGGCTGTTTTAAGTAAGCAATTTCAAGAAGTCCTTCAAATACTACTTCATCTGCAGAAGCAGAAATCACAGGAGTTGCAGTCCTGCCCTGTTTAGCTGGATAACTGCTATTTGCCCCTACCACCCAGTGCCACATACAGATGCTATTCCAGCTGTTCTCCCACACAGCAGGGATATTTCACAAGGAGTGCCTGGCAAGGGATGTGCTGGCCAGACAAAGTGACCAGCAAGCCCTTAATGCAACTGCATCCACAGCTCTTTTGAGAATCATACCAAGAGAAATGGTGCAGCAACAGTACTGCCACTTCCAAAAACCAGGACCAGTCTCCCAGGACAACACTGAGAAGGTCAGAGAACCTGGTTAATGGTAACAGACAGTTGGTCAGGCCTGTGGTTGAGAAGTGGCCAATATGCATGGCCACAGAATAAAATCATTTATGTGGAATCATCTCTTTCCCACAACAGGCTGTAAAGCCTGTAATTAATTTGTTATTCAAATTAGTATGCATTATTCCCACAAATTCTGCACTTATAGGGCTGGTGCAGCAGAAACTACCTACTCTTCCTCACAAACAAAACTCCAGGAAGAATCAGTTAGGACAGTTGGAAATACCTTTTTTGTATGTAAGAGAGACTTCAAAGCCAAGTTTGTTTCCTTCCCCCAGCTGCAGCCAGGCATAGATGTGTCATGCAGGACAGCAGTTGCAAGACCTTCAGCAAAGGGTTTTCTGTGTTTTCCCACAGTAATCCATTCCATCTCTACATATCCTGACCATCAGGAAGTGTTCCCTAATATTTAATCTAAAAATTACTGTCTGCAATTTAGTCTATTACTTCTTGCTCTATCCACCACAGGCAAAGAAAACAGTTCAACTGTTTCTATTCTAACTTCTTCCCTTTCCTTGAAGAAGCCTTGCTTGTTCTTCTTTAAACTAAAGACCAAACTGAAGACCACTTGCCTGCTCTCTCTCAAAGTCTTCCTTTCTAGATCTCTGACCATTCATGTTCCTTTCCTCTGGCCCCTCTCCAGTTAATCTATAATTTTGTTTCACTCCAGAGCTCAAAGATGGATACAGAACTCCAGCTAAAGCTCAATTCTGAGGAAAAAAGGAGGGTTACTTCACACAAGGTGTATGTATGCTATGGCTCTGTCTAGATACTTCTACTTTCAACCTGGCTGACCTTGTGATTGACCATCACCTTTCATGCCCTTTCTGAAGGCCCACTGCTTTCCCAGTTGTTCTCATCCCACATTTATAGTCGATTAATCCTGATAAGATTAGCACCTTTAGCCTGTTACTACTGAACAACCTCTCCTATTTTTATGCAGTTTCTCAGATTTGTCAAGATCATTCTTATCTGTTGTTCTGAGCTTCATCAAACTGGAAGCTCTTCCCAGCTCTGGATCTTCTAAAAATTTTATACTTAGTACCTGTCATTTATTAAATACTGGGTCAGGATCCTTACTTGGTTTGATTTTCCCATCACATCAGAAAGTGTAGATATCTTCCTCTTGTTACCTACTGCTTTCATCCGGATTTATATCTGTCCCTTAATACCATAATCAAGGCCACAAGCCTCTGCTTGATTTAAAAAACCCTATAAGCATTGTCAAAAACTTTAGTGAAGCAAAAACTTTATAGAAGTAGAGATTCAGGAAACTTGTCCTAAGCACTAGGCCTGCAGCACTCTAAACAGAAGAAAGTTGTATGGCAAGATTATCCTCTAAGCTGCTTCTATTCCCTTTTGGGTCATCATTTCTTCCCACACAACTCATCTACCTGTTAATACACTGCCCTGACAGAGGCAAAAAAAAGTATCTTGGCAGCATTGACACTAGTCACAAGGAAAAGCTCAAAGGCAATTTGAAATTAACTGTGCCATTACACCAATGAACTTGGTCTCTTCACACTTCTATGTGTCCGCCTCCAAAGACTGTTAGCTTCTGATTCTAAAAAGCCTTTTAAAAGCCACACTTGAAAGAAGACACAGATTGGATGTCATGATATTCCCTCAACTGAGTATTTTGCTTAGCCCAACTTGTACTGGATCTAATTTAATCAAGGGCTTTACTGCATACTTTTATTATTGACAGCACATAATACTTCAGCCCAGGAACATTATTAGGGGAAGTTACCCAAAGGACTGACCAAACTGCTAAGCAGCTGGTATACATAACCTGAAAACTCAAGTTCAATTGCAATGCAATTACTTCTGTTCCCAGTGGGAAGCCAAGACAACTGCAGAGAGAGGTCAATTAGCAAAGCACTCCCTTCCGGCACTGCAGCGCTAATTAGGAGGAAAAAAAAAAAACTTCATCTGACATAAATTTCACTCAGTTTATGCTAAAAAAAGCACACAGCAGACATGAGCACATACAGGATCTAGTACATGAACGTTTGTGGGTTTTTTCCTTACCTTTTCTGGCTCTTCTTGCAGTTGTTGCTGATCTCTACTCTGTATGTTACACAACCTTTGGCTATGGGCAACAGAACGTTTCAATGGCTCATCATCGCTGTCAGAATCTACAAAGAGTGCTGCAGAGCTCTTTGACTTGAAAGTATATTTTCTGTAAATTAAAAACAAGGCTATAGAACTTCACAGCATTGTAGTATCATACAAACACATCTCAAAGCAACTGTTAAAGCAGTGCTTTCACACTGTTCAACTGGGGAACAAAGTGCTACAATGACAATTTATTAATATGGCAGTCAAGGTTTTCTGAAAAGCTTTATTTTTTGGGGTAAACTGACATATCTACTTGAAGCCTGTAATAATGGCTTACAGCATTAAAAGTAGCTAAGTGTATGGCTCTTGCTTTTAAGGCCAAGGATTCTGCACTTTATTGCCTCGCAATCCCAGTCTGAACTCATTTGAAACAAGGCCACATTAACACACAGAATTTGGCATAAGTCATTTGACTTGAGTTTTTAAAGTTGGACATAGGACTTCTCACAACATTAGCCAGATATAAAAAGTATAAAAATGCAACAATTTTTCATTTTTCCTGTGTTCCATTAAGATAAATTCTTGCTTCTTTAAAACAGAAGACAAAGGAGTCTGAGGAAGTCACGATTTCTGTTCTGTTAGTAGATCTGGTCTTTAAGCATCCTTCAATACAAAACCATCCAGTGTGATACCACATTTTTCAAAGTATCAAAAACTGGCTGTCTAATGTTTGCAAATAAACTTAAGGAGACAACCACCTGTTCCCAAAACACCCATTTTGGCTCCACAGAGTCAGAACAAAGAGCTAGATTGCAGAAGTAGAAATCATTTTGCTTCTTAAAACAAGGCAAATTGCACCACTGATGTTAATTTCAGCTACCATGTAACACCAATAAAACTCAAATATGAAAAAAAGACAGTAGCTGAAATAATTTACAACACAAAACCCAGAAAATCTAAAAATGCCTAGAAACTATGCCACAAAACCCCAGGCCATTGGACATGAGCATCTCAGAGCTCTAACTCACCTACAAGGCGTGGAAGTGCTTACAGTACAGGAATTCACCATTTGGGAGGCTTTCAATGGGCGGGAACTATTAAAAGAGCAAAATATTTATTGCAGTAGTTACAGTCTTTAAAAAGTAAGCATTTACTCGTCTGCTATGCATGCAAATTCATGACCAAAAGGACAAGCAGAATACCATTATGTACTTGCTAATTGCTTAGATTTACAGTAATAACTTCATCACACTATAAATAAACAACAGTTGTTCAAAATCATGTATAATCCTTTAAACTTGATTCACTTCTTGACGATGCACCCTTAGGGACCAGCTCACAAATTAAAGGCTCTTGGTTCCCATGCCAGGATAACTCATTCCTTTATATTTTATTCCCACCAACACTTGAGTTCCTGCTCCCAAACCACAGTCTCCTGCTGTTTTCTGGATCAGCCAGTTTTCTGACATATCACACATCTTAATTTCTCCTGCCTTACCTAGATTCCTTTGAACCAATTTCCTGCTCCATTTAATCCTTTCATGGGCTCCTCCAAGTCCATCACTATCACTACACATCTATCAAACAGATGTAGCCACTGTAGAAATCTTTTCTAATCTTCCCCCTAAACCAGGGTTGTTTCTCTCCAGCCTAGTTCCCCTTCCACTCCCTAGTCAATCACAATGGTTTCCATGACTGAAAAAAACTCCCAACATTGGAAAAGCTATTTCCAACCTATTTGCAAGTATTGCTGCTCTGGTTACCATAAACTGTTGTGTTCGAGATGTCTACTGTTAAAACAAATTAATGGAAAATATCCACTTACATCTCAAAACACCATTAAACATTTGGCACAACACCTGCTGACACTGCTGAACATATGCTCCAGATGTGTCCTAGCTCACTATGGATATCCTGGCTATGCCACTCAGCAGAGGCTACAAGAGACCTAAGGGTTTCTTGCCCCTTATTCTGCCACATGCTTCCCATGTGACAACTGGCACATTTAATCTGTGTCTCAGGTCACGCAGCTGTACAGAAATAACAGTCACAGGGAAAAGGAGAGAGTATTTTCAGCATGCAGAGTCCTCAGATACCACAGTGGCATAGGAAAGACAATGAAAATGAATGACAGCACAGGAGGCACACGTAGAAATTTGCAGAAAAATGTAGGATGTTTTGTCTTCTAAGCAGAGTTAGAGTGCTCTGAAGGGAAAGATAATTTAGATTACTTTAGACTGAGAGGCCTACATTTTAAAAATTACTAACAGAAGTGTTCTTAAAAAGAATATAAAGTTATTTTCAAGGACACTGAAGAATATTATCTTACCAAATATTCCCTACATAATGCCCATACTTCTCTTCCTACTGCTTCTATCATACTTCCTTTCCAAACATGTTCTTATGACAGCAGCATTACAAACCAGCAGCACACATCTGAAGCTGCATAATTGTGATGCTGCCTTGCCCAGACATCCTCTGGAGGAGATCTGAAAAGTGCCTATTTTGTGGCACACACGATTAACACAGCAGGGACCAAAGTTGCACACTTACATGGCAGAATGGACGCTCCATCCCAGCGTCAGTGGCAGCCTGGTGCTTTCTGTACAGTGGGAAAGCAGGGTTAAGTATCTCGGAATAACCACTTGCTGCCCGACTTTATGATTGAGAGACAAAGCTACATTGAAGCTATATCGTTTCAGATGAAGAATCAGGACCCTGAGAGAGATGAGAGAAGGACAAATGTTAGTCTCAAGACAGAAGTCAGAGAGAACCTATTCAAAATCCAAGTAAGCTTTCTTTCCAAAGGCATTCACCTGACTAAACCAGATTACTGCTTTGGGGTGGTAGGCAAAGGCTGACCATCTCTTATCTGCAAGACACAGGTAATTACGCTCCTGTTCATCACTTGTGCAATATTAAAATTCCAGAATATATTTACTGTATCTGCTTTGCTCACATCCCAGAAACCCCAAGAAAAGGGGAAAACTCAGTCCTCCTTGTGTAGTGATAGGGAGGAAGAAAAAAGCCCTGCTGAGGGCTTTCAAGGCTTCTTTAGAGTGAACCTGAAACAGCATGCAGATTGACTTGCAGGTGCACCTCTCTCACACACTGTACACACTGTCCTGCTCATTTTCCCAGCTTTACTCTTCAAGGGATTTTTGCCTGCACTTTTATAACATATGCATCCAGGAAGGAGAGGAACAGGTGTCAACATTTACCTGGGAAGCCTGTTGAACTTGTGTGTGACAACAGCAGACTTTCCATTGCACTTCTCACAGGAATACTCAATCTCCTCTGCCTGTTTAAGGGAGCAGAGAAATGACTTATGGAACAAAAGAGAAATCAAACAGATCTCATCCAAAAATACATCACATCTGTCACACAAACTCTTCAAACAGCAGTAAGCACTTAAAATTATAATCACCTTCAACTTGACCTAGTAAAAGGGCAGGCAGCAGACCTTAAAACTTGACATCATATCCACTAATATAGGTAGAATTCTTCTTGCAAGTCTACTGGAGACCCGTGAATTAGCCACCATTATGACATAAATTAGCTTCCAAAGGGAGGGGACAATCTTGTGTGGTTAACAGTTTTCTCTCCCATACACAGGATTTGTTTGATATTATTTTTTTTTCCTAATAAGCCATGGTGGAGGATAGTGCCATGAAACTCTCTACCACTTGTAAAAAAACTCTTCTTTGTTCCTCAAAAGGTATCCTCATCTAAACTTACCAAGGGTATGCTACATGAGAGTAGAGTTCTGAACAGACATCAAAAGGGGAAGCATCCCTTTCCTGAAATTACATAACTTGCCCATCAAACATTCCTACAGCCCCCTATCTTAAGTGAAACCAAATTACAACATTACAATTTTAGGTATTTTTTAAAATCATAAGACCTCCACCAGTTTTTAGAAGAAAAAGCACATCAATTGCTCTCTCTGTTGGAAGTAGTATCTATACAGAGAAGAAAAAAAGCTTGTCTCAAGATACGACAAAATACAACACCAATTCACAGATGTATGGCTCTTTTTTAGCTTTCAGAAGCTTCATCTTGAAGCTCTACTTACAAAGTAAGCATCCACATATTACAGCTATTTTTTTTTTTTTTAATTATTGTACCTGTATGACCTTTTTCCTCCAAGGTAATTAAGGCTTGTACACAAGCTGTTGGCATCCTAGCCTAGGAGAGGTAGCAATTCCTGAGTGATTATTCCAATCTGACAGCCACCCTTCTCTTCTCTGTATTTGTTTACACTCCAACTCTTTCATGACAAAATTGGGAAGTTTACCTATTTTACATCAGTTAATTTCTGCACAGCATTTTACAATAAAGCCTTCCATACATTGTTAATGGACAAACCTCAAAAAAGTGCAGTGTTATCTCACGAGCCTGCAAACCACTGTCATAGAAACTAATAATCAGCTGAACAATCAGAATTTCCATATAGTTCATAATCTACACACACTCCACAATGCATAAAAAACCCCCTCAAAGTACATACTCGAAAAAAGAGGTCAAGAGAATCCTGGATCGATCGGGAAGGAAGGAATTTCTTCCTTCGGGGAAGGTCAATGGAGAGGTCATTAAACTGTTCTCGTTTAGTGACTGTTTCACCACACCTAAAAAAGAAACATGCTTGTGTAAGTCTGATGAAAAATAAACTTGAAATTCATGAACATGTGTATGTTTTAGGGTAAAGTGACTTCCTAATAAACATACACTTCTTGATCATCCTATTTTTACTCATCAAAATGGAACTGTTTGATGCTCAGGACAAAATTGGATCTTGCAATTTCTTTCTGATGCTTTAGAAGTTGAAACATTTGCACGAGGGTAAGAACAAAAATGCACAGATTGCTTTGGAGAGGCAAATGATCGGGTATACAGGAAATCAAAGTGACTGCTATAGCTGAACACATCTTCATTCAATATTCTTAGGAGAAAAGATGTAAGCCCAGCCCAGTCTAGCAGAAGGGAAGTGCTAGAAATACTTTCAAACTGTTCTTAGAAACACAAGAGTAGAGTCTATCTAAAAAACCAAAACCAACAAAAACCCTAAATTTTTCTTACCTTTCATTTTTCTTACGGGAAAAAATAAAAAGACCATACTACAGTAATTTTTCTTCTATAATTACTACCTGGATGCACTTTAGTAGTTCCACAGAATAATTTAAAGTAAAGTATACACAAACTATTATTCCCAAATATCTGTGTTCATGAAAACTGTGTGGAATTAAACAGTCCCATATGGAAATCTGCTGTACAGGTCATACACAATGAATTCCCAAACATACTGGTTACATCTCTTTCAGCAGGAATACTGAAGAAAATGTCATTCCCCGGAAGCCCTTAAAAAGATCAAATTAAAAACATAGCTTCCCCTTTCTCCATTTTCTTAAGAGGATACTTTACTTGGCTGAAACCCCCTTTTCTTTCTATTCCTATACAATTGGTACACAAAGAGCAAAGCACAAAGGCTTTCCATTGGACATGCAATGAAGAACTAGGTGGTAAGAAACTGTTCAAGGCTTACAGCAGCAGACAGTGTGGTGTGAGATTTACAGCATTTCTAGACAAGAAAGTTAATAAATATCTAGCTTTGTATAAAACATAGTTCTTAATTCTGGTTACAATCTGCAGATGAAGTCACATGAGATGGGAACACTTCCTAGTGTTTTAAGGTAAGTGCAAAAAAAGCTGTCAAGCACACTTACATTTTGCAAATGATAGAATGCTGAACCTCAAACTCTAAGTTACTGATAACAGGACATGTATAAACTTTGGTGGCTGAGAGGTCATCAGAAGCACGTCCTGGTGAGTTATCCTCATTAGGAACTGGTTCACTCTTCCAAGTTTTGTTTAGCTTCTCCATGTCTTCCTTCAGCTGATCCAGACACTGGCTCAAGAACTCATGTGCATCCTAGAAACAGGGAAAATGCAATGAAATGGCTTTGTACAACTTCATTCAGTCTTTTTCTCCAACTCAAAGAGACTGGGGAAATTATGTTTAGTTCACTGAGGCAATTCTGCTCTAACAGTCACTGCCATTCAACCAAAAGTCAAACACAGCTGAAGCTTGACAGGTGTTCAACACAGTCCCAACACTGAACAAACTGCACATCACTATTTCCAGACAATGATACTTACATTCTGCATGTACCCAGAAAATCTCTCTGCAGTAGCTGAAATGGCACTTTTCACCTTCTTGAGCAGCTCTTTCTTAACCTCAGGGCTGCAGACATCCTTTTTAGCAAGCAGATGGGCAAAACGTCTGCAGAAGGCAATGAAACACTGGTTGGTTTTCCAGGGCTTTAGAGAAGCATAAAAGAACTCATGATACCTTATTTTAAGAGTTCCTAAAAGCTTCTCTCCTGTGATAAGTGGTTCAGGGGTTCTGCATGAAAATATCCCACATATAATTAACCTTTTCCATTTCAAGAATGTCGAGATCTCATTTGAGGCCATCATCAAACAGCACTCAAATGAACAAAATCAAAAAACCAATCCACAGTCTTTTAAGGTAAAGAGAAAAGCCTTATAAAGCTCTAAAAACTTATTTCTGCTCTTTGACAGCAAGAAAAAGATTTCATAATGCTTCTTGAAAACATTTGTACTGATAGGAGATATGATACCACACAGTACCAAAATAAGCAACTCAAAGTCACTAAATTCAACTTGAATGGTCAGAATGGTTTCAATTTATGTTTTATTTTTAAACTTCCACTCATTTTCAAGCCTTACTTCTTTCAGCAATAAAAACATTATAACAGAAAAAAGTTGTAGCAAAAAGAGCCGTGAGGAGTTCCTTGGTTCAAGCCAGTGCTTCTGTTAGCTTTGCTACAAAGCTTTTGAAATTAACTTTACCTGTGCCTCACAGCTACTGTGATTTAGTTATCTTTTACAACTGCTTTACAATTTCACAGGACGTACACACCAAATATATTCCAAGCGTAAGTTTCAGTCATGCTACATACATGGGAAGGTGATAGGAAGATGTCACATTCCATGCCACAAAAAAACCCCAGCCCAAAGACAGGGAAAACCTGTATAATCTCCTCACAGCCCAAACCAAACAACTTATTAGTTACCCCAAGAATCTGCTGTTTACTGCAGCTTGACAAGTTTCTGCTACTCTGCAGAACTCCAAGAAGAGCATGTGCTGTCCTAGCCCTCTACAGCTGCTCAATGAAGCATGTTAGGAAACCACAGCAGTTGATAAGCAATCACTGATCAACCAGAAAAACAGTCACCAGGTTAGATGATATAGCCAAACCAAGAGAAGACAAAGTAGATGCTTTGAGTATCAACTCTGACTTGTACAGGATCACACACTGCCCATTAGGTATATGGAGCACAACCTTCAGAGGTCTTTCTACAAAAATTAGAGAAAGGACATTTCAAGAGGCACATGGAACAACCTCTGATCCCAAGTAGTGTAGAAAGAGTTCAAGATGATACACCAAAACAGAAAATTACCTCAAAAGATATAAAAAATGATGAAACAGAAACACAAATGCTTCTGATAATCCTGCATCTTACTCAGTGACAGAAAAGAAATGACGTACACAAGAGACTATATAATAAAAATCACAAATGGCTGAATTTGGCTGAGAAAGATTAAGTATGCAAAACTTGAACACTTTCCACAGCTACTAAACAAAAGCCCCACATATCAGGTGAAACAGCTTAAACTCTACCTGGCAAAGTTCTTAAAAGAAATTTTTCTGCATCTAACTTATTTTGCAATTTCTTGCATTTTACTCTGCCACTAGAAATACAGTAAAAGAATGCCTGTAACTCAGTATTATAAGTTCTAAGAGCCAATTTCCTATTTCAAAAGTAAAGCTCCAAAATACAGGGAGCTTAGGATTTCTTTTATTACCTATACAGGCAAATGACCCTTTACAAAGATGCTCCAATATTACCAAACCAGTTTAACAGTAATGAAGGAGAAAACAGCTTTCATAGAAAGTGAATTTTACCTGATAAGTGCATTGAGTGGAATTTTTTTCCACGGGATACCCTGTTTGAGCAAATCATTAGCAAAAGACTGAATTGAAAACAAGGACTGTAGAATGGCATTCATATAGCAGGTGTTTCCCAAGTTTGAAAACCTGAAAACAAACAAACAAACAATTTTGTGTCTAAAGGTCAATGTGCAAACTTGCCAGAATTAAACAGAGCACTACTAACACACAGAATATTCACCCCAGTCTCTCCCCACAGAGTTTCTTACTGGAGCTGTTCCCCAGCCCTTCAGCTTAAACTGAAAACTCATGGGAGGCAGCACTTAGCAGGAAAGCATTCATGAGTTTCTACAATCAAATATTTTAAAAATGCATATATATATATACACACACACGAAGACAGAGAAATGAATCATCATTAAAGAAACATGAATTACCTAAAATTATTATGTCTCTGAAACTCCCAGGAAGTGAATTCAAGAATACATATCCCTCCAAACTAAGAAAAGCGTTCCCTGTCTCAGTGTTCATTAATTTCAGGATAATTTTTAAATTAAATAAGGATAACAAGAATATGCACGTTCTGATGATCAAAGTATGTGTGCTAGATAAAGGAAATTAAATTTACCCTTGCAACTGTTGTTGAGGATGGGTAGAAAGGGGCACTCGGGGTTTGTTCCATCCTGTGTAATCTTGATTAGATCTCATTTTTTTAACAGAAAGAGGGGCAGGCTGAGAAAGGAATCCCAGGCTTCTTTTGGCTGAAGAGGTCTGGCTGGATACACTAGACCTAGAAACATTAAAGCAAAAGAAGGGTAAGGTTTGTAATGCTCTGCCTCAAAGAGGCAGATGCCTCAAAGTGTCCATGACACTGGAATCGCAGCACTACGGAAGACAAAAACTGGTAAAGCCACACAAGATAACTGGAATGTCTCACAGTGAAAAAGAGATATGACAGAGCACATTTCTTTCCAGAAGTGTCAAATTCTTAGCTTGGTTAAATTTCCTTATATCCACGGGTGTGCATGCAGTATAACCAAGTCCTTGGTCTTACAAACATTTAATAATTCTCCAAGTGTATGATGAAAGGAAGAATGATTACATAGCATGAGATCACCACTCCCAATATATGCTTTAAATTCACATCTGGGCCAGAGTCTTCATTTTCAGTCTCTTCTTCTTGTAACCTAATCACTATGGACCTCAATTCCTAACGTTTAAACATAGACAATGCTTCTTTTCTCCCTTGATCTTGTATCTCATCTATCTAGGGCAGCAACCACGAGTCTGACTGCATAGCACCTGACAAAGAAGAATCCTAAGCTCAGCAGGATTTAGTATTTGCTAAAATACTGTTATTAAAATATAGAATTGCATGCCATTTATCTACTTGGGAAAAATGAAGCAAAGGTTCAGACTTCCAGAGTTTATATAGAATTGGAACCATCTAGAGTCATTAATAACTATAACAGATTTAAGTGATTTTACAAAGTCTTTCCAATGCAAGCAGTAACTAGAGTTTGTAGATGTAAGCAGGGCAGTTGAAGACACTGAAGAACTGGACTATGCTCCTGAAAGGGGAAAAAAAAAACCAAACCAACAAAACCCACCATGTTATGCATCTAAGCACCTTGTGATCAACACACAGGAAACTGAAGAGCTTAATTCCTGTGAAACAACTGCTATTTACAGTTCATTCTAATGACTCAGCCCTACCTGTCCAGGGTGGAACTGCCAGTGGAGTACTCTTTTGAAGTGGACCGACTACCATAAAATGATGATGACTGCAGTGGTAAAACACCTTTAAAAGAGAAAGAAAAGCAGGACATTTTGTTCCAGGTTACACAGCTATTTTTACAATAAACAAGTTGTTTGAAAGTATTTAGTCAAAAGGTTTAAAAATCCTCAAATATTGGTTTCTAGAATTGGTCTGGAGACTACTAATACATATGTTTAGAAATACTAATGTGAATTTTAATGATATGTAAGTAAAGGCATTATAGAGTTTAAGGTATTCAATTCAGTCTCCATCAAATTCAAAGAGCAATATGAAATATTAAAGTCATTATCTTAACTACATGAAAGTTAATAAATTCCTTCCTCTTGTTCAGAGAGTCAAGACACATGTACAGAAAACTCCTGATTTCCAATGCAGTGTTCTCAGAATTCAAGGTAAATAAGCAGAAGTGAAAATAGCTTCTCCTCCCACTCCCAATTCCACAATAAATTATTATGCTTGGAGCAAAATAGGATTGCTTCATTGCTATGATATCATTATGACAGATCCTGAGACTCTAATGCCTCAGATGGTGCCATATGAAAAAAATGCTCTCAAGAGTCAAAAACCCACCTATTACAGTGAATCACAGCCTAATTTAGTTTGAATAATGAATAACCATTTGCTGCTTTTCCAGCTTGAAGCTGTTTGAGCCACACGACTTTCAGAAATGCAGATGTATGAAAGAAGTTTGCAATACTGTTACCAGAACTTGCAGGGATATGCAGACTCTAGTTTTTACTCTGAAGACAAAACCAGATTTCCATTCAGAGGTAAACATTCATGTTACTGGCTGTTCCAGCACATTTGTGCCATCAGAGATGCACTAAAAAAAGAATTCATCTACCAACGTTCCTCATGAAAACAAGATCTTGAATGCATTACTCTTTATGAGGAAAGAAGCTAAGTACTTATTCATAAAACTGAAGAACAATGCTGCTTGCTAGCTTATCTACTAAAATTTCTGTATTGTCTGTAAAGTCTTGTCCCACAGCAGTGTTCAATAGAACTTTGGTAGAAACAGGACAAAAGTCTTGACCCCAAAGAAGTCCCCCTGTAAGGTCTGGGAAAGAGATAACAAAGTAAAAGCAAACAGTACACATTTTAATCACAAAAACTAGCCTACAGTTCACATGGGCATTAAGAGCAAAGGAAAGTTTTAAAAATAAATACGCAAGCAAGGAAACGGGAGTTTACAGAAATCCTCTGTCAAGAAGGCAGGTTGGAATAGTCTGAAGCTGCTTATTTTAATTTTGAAGCAAGCTGGCTCATGGGCTGGCATCAGCACCGAAGAATAAAAGTCAAGGCCACACTAGAGCAGGACTGGCTTTGAAAATGAAGGCAGGATATTTGCATCTCATGTACAGCTCTGGAGGAAGCAACAAAGTTAATGGCATAGCAAATTAGGAAAAAAACACCTCTGCAGCAACTTGCTGAACTAGTATCAAAGGGGTAAAATTGTACTGGACAAGGCTAGGTATCATTTGGCTTTACTTTTTTTTTTTTACCTGATGTCTTATTCTCCTCAGCCTGCTTCAGGTTCAACTGTTTCTCTCTGCTACTATTCAAGTACTTCCATGCTGGATCACTCAAGGCTTTATTATTCCTATAGAGAGGAGAGTGGAAGGCAGTGCAGTTATGGAAGATATGGGATATTCCCATTCAATATTTACAACATTTTTTAAAGCATCTCTCTCTTATCACCTTTAATAGTTGACCACGAACAGTAGAACTTCAGTCACATAAGTTTAACCCATTCATTTAAACAAGTCCTCTTACAATTAAACCTGACTTCAAACACATGGAGCTGCTTCTTCAAATGGCAATTTCCCTTTTGTTTTGAAAAGGGTCAAAGCACATACAGTCCACATGCAGCTCTGACTGATATAATTGACAAAAGATCGATGGCACAAAATTTGCATGTGCCAGTTCATGCAAATCATCTGCTGGAGTAGTTTGTATTTCCCTTATTAACCCTGAACACATACCTCATTTCAAGCATCCAATGTATTCACAAGCTGACTGACCTGGTCCATGTGCTGAGAGCATTCTTTTCAAAAATACATACTTTACAAATGAACAAGGAATTTTAAATCAGAAACAACTGTTACTTACGTTGAAGAATCATTCTCTTTGGGATAATCTTCACTCATTTCTGAACCAGGGGGTTGTGTTCTTTTCCTCTTTTCACTGATGACAAAAAAATTTGTGGTCATTCTTTCTGAAATGTTAGTAAAGGACCCTCTTGCAACTGAACAGAATTTCTCAATGCTTTCCATACATTTTGAATCTAGCTTCTGCAATCTCCACTTTTATAGCATACAGAGAAGCATTTGGTCTGCCCAACTCTTAAGCTGTACTTAAAGCTCTAGTGCCAGTACCAGTCAGAGGCTATAAAAGCATATATTAACATCCTGTTAAAAGTAACAGCAAAACTAGAGGAAGATTTATATCCCCTTCTTACGTCTCAGTGTATTGAGCTCCACCTGTAGCTCCATAAAGAGCTGAATTTTAACAGTATCATAGTAAGAAGAAAATCCTCCTACCGATTCTCCAACAAGCCTGTCCTGTGAGTGACTGATGATGCAGGAGATGCTGAAAGGTTCACCCTGTTGCTTGGTGTTCCAGCTCCAGGAGAATTCTTAATAGAGCCTCTTGCTGGGGTACCCAGCACCTTGCGAAATGTATTTTCCTCCTTACTCTCCACAGTCACTCTTTTGGGAGGAGTCTGCAAAGCCCAAGTGGAGGGGCCAGGGAGAAAAGCCAAGAATGAAAAAACAGGACCATCATTAGTCTAATACATTATTTTCACCACTTTTTATTTGCTACAGTTGTAGCATCCAAAAGTGCAGAGATGCTACTTGTAACAGATTCAGACTTTAAATTACACATGGGTAAAATTTTGACTGAGTCATACAAGTTGTAAACATGAAACTCTACTGCAGTAACCACTTTCCCTTCTCATTTTCCAATGCTAAATCAGTTGAACTTAAGTTTTTAAAATTTCCTTTACAAGCTTTGACATTAAAAAAACCCAAGGCGTGATTCCTAACTATCCCCAGATCAATCCTGGGTGGTATTACAACTAAAAGGATTAAAAAACTGTACTAAAATCCACATAATTAAAACAGTGCCCTGACCACCTTGGGCCAAATAAGCCCTACATGTAATGCAATGGAAAGAGGTAACAATTGGTTGACTAAGGAACGTTGGTCAGTTTTAGACTTAAAAAACTGAACATGTCTAATCTCACCACTGTATACACAGCCTCAAGTTTTTATAGTGAGATTGCCTTTAAGTAACATGTAGAATTTGTCTTGGGACAATGTCAGAAATAGTCTCCCTCAGGGCAGTAATACAAGAATATTCACAGAGATAAAGTAAATTAAAGCCAGTAGATACACAATGAAATCTGGGGAGAAAAAGAACAAATATATTTCGAAGGAAAACAACTTCTGGGTAAAAGTCTGTGAAATTTACAAAAAAATGTGAGCAGAATGCCACAAATTAAGTAATTATTCTGCAACAAACCTGGATCAGCTGCTTTTCAATGTACACATTTGGCTGAAGTCTGCTAAACTCATTAAAACTTATGCTGACTAACATATGGTCACATGCATGTAAGGTGTTTGGCATATAACAAAGGGAGATTCAGAACTATGTGAGAAGCAAGTCTCGGTCATGGACCCTCCTTCTACTTCTTGTCTGCCTAAAAGCTCCTATGTGAAGAACACAGCCTGATTTCCATAGCCAGATACTGATCTTTCTTACTCACAAAGATGTCTCCTCACAAACATGATACAGCATTGCCAATCACCCCATACACATCTATTCCAAGCTCTCTCGGTTACAAACACTTTGGATGTAAAGTATTTACCGTGTTACTACAACATACAATAAGAGAATGAGAGGAATAGAATAAAATTAGAGAGGGAAAATGTGAACAATTTAACAAACCTGGTTCTCTATGTAAGAGAATTGCCTGTTAGCTTCCTTCTGTGTGGCCCTGCTGCCCAGCACACCTCCAAAGCTGCCAGATCCTTGTGAGGGTTTCCCAGCTGACAGAAAAAGTATACAATATTTGATTTGATTGTCATTTAACTGACTGGGATTTTTATTTGCAAAAGGTTTAGCTGGAGTTGATTTTGGAAAGAGCACGCTAGATTTCTTGCCAATAGATTACAATATTCTGAATGCACAGACATAAGCTTGTGTATATGGATATCCCTCATACTAGTCATTTAGCCAACTGGCAGCAAACTTCCTAGCCTTAAAAAGGACAAAACTAAGTAAGTAAAATGAAGAGACTGTGCATGGATGATCAACAGACAATCTTTCAAATACCAACACACAACGTAAAGAAATCCTGTATGTTCATCTCTAATTATTGTTCAGCATGAGAAAGATATAAAAGAAAAAATTGGGTTCGAGGCCAGAAAGAAGCATTTACAGAAGTGCAAAGAAAGGCAGGGAACACAAGGAGGACAAAATGTGCTGAAGATGTATGCTGGTTTTGGCTGGAGCAGAGTTAATTTTCTTCACAGTAGCAACGACAGGGCTATGTTTTGGATTTGTGCTGGAAATAGTGCTGATCACAGAGATGTTATAGTCGTTGCTGAGCTCTGCTCACAAAGAGTCAAGGCCTTTTCTCATGCTCACATCACCCCTGAGGAAGCAGGGGGTGCACAAAAAGCCAGGAGGGGACACAGACGGAACATGTGACCGCAACTGACCAGAAGGATATCCCACACCATGTAGCATCATGCTCAGTGTAGAAAGCTGGGGAAGATACAAGGGAGGCACAGTGATGGTGTTTGTCTTCTCAAGTCACCATTACACATGGTAGAGTCCTGCTTTCTTGGAGATGGCTGAATACCTGCCCTGCCCACAGGGAGTGGTGAATGAATTCCTCATTTGCTTTGCTTGCGTGCACAGCTCTTGCTTTACTTACTTAAACTTTGTCTCTACCCACAAGTTTCCTCATTTTCACTTTTCTCATTGTCTTCCCAACCCCACTGGGAAGAATGATTAAGCAGATGCTTGAGGTTTAGTTGTAGTTTGATATAGTTAAACCATGATAAGATGGGAAAAAGAAAACACAACACCTCTCCATAATGTTATAACATGATTTACAACAATTGCACTTACCAGTATGAATCCTGTCTTGATGGACTGCATCCAAATACATCCGCATTTCATTTGCATCTTTAAATGGTACCTTATCAATTGTCAGAAAGCTGGTATCCTTTAGTGTTAGCATCAGGCAGCACAGTTTTCTGCCATTGGGTCGTAAGGTCACAGTTTTAATGTTATGGCTTAACTGAAAACAAGAAGGTGACTGTAAGTATAAATCCAACTTCAAAAGGCCAAAATACTTACAGATTCAAACAAAATATTTCAAATAGACAGGATAAGAGAGACTCCCACCAAAATACTTCTCCTTGCTCCACTTCAAGGAAACATTGAACCTCACAGAATTAATATAATCTGTGACCTTGGCACCTGACAGAACTGTAAGGACAGTATCACTATTGCTCAACAGTTTCTAGTCCTGGACAAGCTTTCTGAAACTTACTTTCCTACTGAGTGTGGCATTTGTAAATGTGAAAGAAAAACAACTTTTTGAAGTCCCATTTAGTAAAAACTTCTACATAAAGTGTGAAATACCATTTTAGATGAGGAAAGTTTCAAGTATTAAACACAAATGTCTCACTTCACAATTTGCTCCCAGAGAAGACAGATTTGAAATGGCTTAAAAAACTGCTGAGGGAGTAAGTCAGTAAGAAACATGCTTGGTCTGTATGTAACATCGTAACAATTAAATAGTGTCAAAACTTTCAGGGTTATGGTCGAGTACAGAAATAATTTTAATAAGACTTTGTCCCCCCTAAGTATGCCACTGCTACTTTATAATAACCTTATTTGTTACTTCATGGTAAGTCACCTGTAAAAATTGGCTGTTGGGTAAAGGTTCTACTACTCATGCAGGTTGAGGGTAGCTCAAAAAGACTGAGATAATAAAAGACACTCTATGTCCACCAATGAAATTTTTTTTCCATTAAGATCTGTAACTTCTTGGAAAACCAATCTAGACACAACAGCAGCTTGTAAGGGGGGCTGTAAAACCACCTTGATCAGAAACTAAGGGCTTGTTTCAACGGAAACATTACACTTTTGAAACACTATGTGCTCAATCCTTGTATTTTGAGTTTGTTTGGGTTTTTTTGTGGGCTGTTGGTATTTTTTAAAAATATAAGCTAAAAATATCTTCAGAGACCTAAGAATTGAATAATGGCTCCAAGATTTTCATGCTCTCTTAAAACACTGAGCCCAGTGCAAAGGGATTACAATTACTTCACCATCTCAGTGCAAAACAACCCATTTCACCTCAAAATGCTGTCAGAAGACTCCATCTATACTCTTCATGCATCTGTTATGATCCAGTCAGTGTCACAAAGTTTTGGCAGGTGCAGGGAAACAAAGTATTTCTCTTAATACTATCTAAGACAACTTAGTTAAAGCTCTGAAACATCTCTACAATATCATCAGAAGAAATTTGATGACACACTAGTTACTGTAGAAAGAAATACAATGCTGGATCCATCCAAACCTTCCATTACAGAAAAGTAAAAACAGGCAGGAAAATCACCCACCGTCCTCTCAGAGCAGCTTGTCAAAAAACCAGGGAATGCTATTTCTAAAGCAAGATCATCAGGAATTTGTCACACCTGAAGTGGCATGCCAGTAGCCTGGGGCTGTCTCACACAAACTACCCTCCAGCACAAAACTCCTCCTCTTCCTTTGCTGCAGTCCCAGCCGCATGGTGGTTTATCACCCTCTCCACTAGATCCTGAATTCAATCCTTTTCCCAAATTTCTGTGAAAAACCTCCACTGAGCTCCCAAAGAGACCTGACAAGTGCCAGAGACAGCAGATGTGAGAGGCTGGGAACAAAACCTGCCCCTTTAGGCCACGGTTAGCTGCTCTGTAGGCTCATCCTCCCTGTGGAACCTCCCTTCGAGTTGCTGCCACATCGTATCACTCATCCAGGCAGAAAGGAGTGTATGAGAACAACCACCCAGGGAATGCACGAGGGGAAGACAAGATTGCTCCCCTCAAGAACAACATGGTCCAACAGTGGATTAAACCAAACTTGCACACAGGTTGTGGATTAAACCACAGCATCACATGAGAAGACAGAGATTATTTTCAAGTCTACAGCAACACAGGTGAGAAAAATCCACAGCTAATGATTTCCTCACAGCCTTGATTTCAAGGCAACGACAGCTGCCAGATTCTTTGCTGAGACTTTTCAGCACACTAAGGCAGCAAAAACCTAACCTTTCAAAAAGAAATTAACTTTTTTTCATAGCATCTGCACGCAGAAATAAACGGCTCAGAGAACAGACTGGTGAACCTTGCTGATGAAAAACAGCATGAAAAAGCAGAAGCCAACATATAGATCACTTTAAGCTGTTGCAAAGTTGCTAAATAAGACAGGATAATTTTTCTTCCAACTGCTCTTATGCCACGTCTATATTTTTAAAACAGGTATGCATTTCTTACAGAAAAAGTACTCTGCTTTTGATTTGGGGCATTTTGCACAAAATCTAGGAAGACTGACCTGAAAATAACTATAGAATCTGAAAAATCTTGGCTGAATATTTCAAGAGAATCTTTAACAGCAATCTGCATCAGCATTTAAACCTAAAACTGTAACAACTAATGTTCAGCAAAGCCTTGCAAAAGGCTGCAGGTGTGTTAACACCATTAAACTTCAGCTGGGGAAACAGTATAAAGTGGTCAGGATCTTCTCCTCTAGAGAAGGCAAATATGCCAGTAACAGAAAGGTTATAGGGTTCCAAAAATCTAAAACGTGGGCCACGATGGTCTATACTTCTGTAACTTTTCTCTGCTTTTTTGGTTCTTCCCATTCAGTGGTATCTCACTGCCAACCTCGGCAGATCCTTTAACAATACTTGTACGTAATTTACTGGAGAGTTATACAAAGGGATTAGTGTTCAGGAAACGAGGAACAAGAAACAGTGACAGAGGGAAGACTGCAGGACACTTAATAGCCTTGAAGAGGACAGCTGTTCACAAGAGAGCAGAATCCATGCACTGTTAAAACAAAAGCCTTAATGTCTGGCATACCTGAAACGTTGTTGGAATTCCTCCAACATTGTAGTGAACTACTAGATTCACTTTGTTGTCCTTCTCCACAATTTCAAAGCTCCCTTCTTTCCATTTCGTAATCCCAGTCTGCATGCTGCGCATCCGGACAGGTCCGTGCACCTTTAACAGCGCCATGCTTTCTCACAGAAAAGGGCTAGCAACAATAAGTATGCTCCACCTTAAAAACCTGTTAAAAAGGAGAAACGCATAACTTGGCAAGCCAAATAATGGCTAAAGGAAGACGGAAGCATAGCTTGAACTTTCCATAGAAGTTTGGTGGAACCGTTTCACTGTTTTTAAGCACAGTGAGGAAGAATTGGACAGCAGGGAAGGAAACTTAGATTAACAAAATTTCTGCCGGTATGTGCATCGATTCCTTACTGCTGAAAGGTGAGCAGACACAATTCCAGACACAGAAGTCCTCAAAACCCCTTAACCTCAACGAATCTAAGGAAAGATGGGGTGGAAAAAGTGCCTGGGGAAAGCCAGTATAAAATGGGAACCAAAGTTCTGGAGGAAACCTAAGAAAGAAAAGGAGCTCGTTTCTGACGGCGCGGGACCCGCGGCCACCTGGCACGGCCGGGACCGAGGTCTCTGGCTTCCCCGGGGGCTCTCGGCCCGGGGGGCGAGAGACACAGCCCCAAGGGTTCCGGAAAGCACGGCGAAGCGTATTCCCGATAAAAACCAGAAAGAATGAATGGAGCGGCCCCTGCGCGCAGCCCGGGAGGCGCTGCCGGGGAGGTTCCCCCAGGCATCCCGCGCTCAGGCGCCGCCACTCCCGGCCCGGCCTGGCGGTAGTCCCGCTCTTCCCGGGCCTGGCCCCGCTCCCCTTCCGCCGCTCAGCCATACAGGGACACAGAGAGCACGGGAGCGCCGCCCGCCCCGGGCCGGGCCGCTCTAAGGGCAGGCGGTCGCCGCGCGGCGGGAGGGGCACGCGGCCGGCGGGAGCGGGTAGGAATCGGTGGCGGCGAGCCCCGGTACCTGCGTTCCGGCGTATCCCGGCGCGTCCCGCGGAGCCCGGAGCGAGGCCCGGGGGGGGCGGGGGAAGGGGGCGGTGGCGGATGGCGGGAACCGGCCACAGCAGCGCGAGACGGCGCGCAACGCGCGCCCGCTCACGTCAGCGCGGCAGCGCCTTCCCGGCGCGCCCCGCGCGCGCCCGCTCCGCGCGCAGGCGCCGGCGCCGCACCGGCGCCGCCCAGCTCCGTCCCGGCGTGCCCCGCGCGGCGGGTGAGAGGTCGCGGTGGCGGCGAGTCCATGGCGGCGGCGGTGACGGCGGCTTGAGGCGGCACCGGCTCCGCTCTCACCCTCCGACCATGCACAGCCTGGCTACGGCCGCGGTGAGCACGCGGTTCCGCGCCCCGCCGGGCGGCGGCGGGATGGCGCTGGGGATGGGGCCCTGTTACGCGGGCCGTGCGGGGAGCGGGAGTGTGGCCGCCTGTGGCTGCGGGGGGAACTTGAGGCCGCGGGGTGGCGGAGCCCCGATGAGCTCTGTCCCCTCGGCATCACCGGCCGGGTCCGTTTGGTAGCTGCCTAACTCCGACTGCTCCCGTGAGGCCGCTCCGTGCTGCGTGCGGGCTCTGCTGTGGCGTGGCTCGTCCAGGGCCTGGAGGGTTTCCCTGCTGGGTGACCCGGCTCTGCCTCGTGTGCATCACGTAGAGCTTTCCCTTCTTCCCCCTTGCCTGCCGTGCTCCCTTCCTGCGCCTTGATGCCTCCCGTAGTGAATCAGTGTTTTAAGGTCCCTTAAAGAATCGCTGGCAAAGGTATCGGCAAAAGCAGATTTTACACAAAAGCAGAAGCGTGACAATTTCGTTGTTAAGGTTTGCTCTACTACTTAAAAAGCACAGAGAGGAAAAGCAAACAAAAGTCTAAAATTAATTAATCTACAACCAAAATGCGTCCAAAAAATTATCCACAGAGCGTGGAAGAGGAAAAGCAGGGAAGAAGAGGATAAGGATAGAAAAGGGTAGGATAAGAAGGGATACGGAAGACCCTTCTGCTGAGGCACAAGGTTCAGAGTAGATCTTCTTTAAATGACCTTAAAACACACATCCTTGACACCTCCTGCGTGCCCAGCCACCTCCTCTGCCCTCTGGGGAACTGTTTTACTGGTGGCCTTGACTACAGAGGCAGAGTAGGTAGTGAAAAGCCCCTCAGTGCTGCAGATGCTGTCTGTTCCTACTTCCCTTTTGCCCCATTGCAGTGCAGAACCTTCCATAGCTGGTGCTTTCCCTCAGCCCCCTCAGGAAGCTGCCAAGACTGGATATGGTACCTGATGTTCAGACTGGCAGGAGTGGAATGGTACCTTGGCCTGGGTGGGTTCAAAAATGGAAGCTGAGTTTGAAGGATGTGGTTATTGTTTTGTATCTCCCACGTGATTTGGTTTGTGTTTTGGTTTTCACTTCCCCAAATGCACGTTCATGGCATGTGTAAGACTTCCTGGAGCTGATTGAGGCTTGTGTGTCCTGAGTGTGGGAGGTGTATTGCAAAACCAACAGTTAGAGCTGTTTCAAATGAACTTAAATCAAGGATCTGGTTGGACTAACCACTAAAGTGTTGATGAGCAGGAGTTAGAGAACTTTTTCAGTTTTTCCTCTTTGTTTAAATGCTTGTGACTGCAACTGGTTCTTGGAGTGCTGCTGAATATTTGTGGTTTGAAGTACTGTTCTCCAGAGCATGGAAGGGTGTGCCAGATCAGGTAGACTCTCTTAATCAGCGTTTACATTTTTATAGCACTGTAATTCCCAAGTACTTGTTGCAATGCATTAAGGACTCCGGTTATGTGTATCTCCTATTAATCCTCTGCCTGTGTTCTGGTTTTCTCTCTTTTTAAAAGACAATTTTAACAAAAAAAATTTCAGAATAGAGATTAACTTTATTTTAGGATTCACTTGAATGTATATTTAATTTATACATAGTTTATGCTAGCTGGTAGTTCTGTATTGAAATGTTTTGTACCATAGTTAGTGTGCTTAGACTGGAGAGGACAGGGAATGGTGTTTGGCTCTGGAGATGTGCTTGGGGCCTGTGGTAAATAAAGTAATCTTTTAGTAAGGTCACGAATTGGCCCAGGAATCCCTTTGGGTATTGTGAACACTGGTGTGATAAAGCTGTGGTGAGCTAGAGCATTGGTCTTCATACAGTGATGCTGATGGCAGAGCTGACACTTAGGTTTCCGGGCTGAAGACATCACAGAGTACTCAAGAGCAGACTGAAACCAATAAATGTAATTGGCAAACCTGTAAGTGGCTGTAGGGAATTGAAAGCCCTGCTAGAATCAGCTAATTCACTGCTATGGAAGTTCAGAGTTCATTTTTGGTGTTTCTGAAAGGATGGGCTATCAAAATAGTTCAAAAAGCACATTTTCCAGTTAGTCAGTGTCCAGCTTTGGCTGACCAGGACTTTTATCAGTGTGCCTAGCTCAATTAGGAAGAGAAAGCCATTTGCCTAAATCAATTTGTTATGGATTATTAGAGATGTCTTTTCTCCAAGAAGGAGAGAGGGTTTTACAAAATTTTTTCTGATGTAATACTGTTGATAGGTTTTACTTTCTCTGCATGCAAAAGAAAGTCAGCCTGGTGGCATTTTGTCCTGGAGCTTGCGGGATTTGTGTGGCCCTCAGGGTTCCCCAGAATTTTGTGTCTTTGAGAGAGAAGAAGAAACAATAGTAGGGAATTAGGAAAAAAATAACTCTTTCCATTTAAACTAAAACAAAAGGAGTGACTGTATAGCCTGTGAAAAGCAGTCTATTCTGGCTAAGGCAGATATTGGATATCATAAACCTAATTGTGTGGAAAATCTACTTAGTGTTCTCTAGGGATCACAAGCACATGATTGTGCTTTTAAGGGGTCGATGTATTTAAGCTTACAGGAACTGAAACTTCCAGTGAGTCTAGAAAAACAGATGGAAGTTTTAGATAACAGAATTATAACAACATTATTGCTATACTGCTTGTCAATCCACCATCCCACATAAAAACAAATGAGCGCTATTCATTCTCCCTCTCTTTTTGAACTTCATTGTAGAAGTTAGCATTGCAATTGCATTCACAGTTGTAGGGGCACAAGAAACTTGGCAGGATCACTAATTTAGTTTGAGATTGTGGGAAAAAAATATTACAAATTGAGTAGGTGAGTGTCCTGGCTCTGGTCAGAACAGAGTTAATTTTTACAGTAGACAAGAGGGAGCATAGCTAGGTCCCAGAGATTATTCTGTACCACCTCACATTATTTTTCAGGGAGAGAGGAAAGACTTGATTTGGGTTTGGGCTAGTGTGGCCCAAGAAGCAGTTGGGTATTGTAGAGGGGGTTCTGTGGGGTGAGCAATAACTTTTCTTTTCTTGTACCCTCTGTCACTAATATTAGTTATTAGTTAGTTTTCTTATCTCATTGCTGTTTCCAGTGAATTGTTCCTATCTCAACCTGTGATCTTTATCTTTTGTGCCTCCAATTCCCTTTTCCATCTTGGACCGGGGGACTGGGAGGGGAAGGAGGGAGTGAGTGAGTGAGTAACAAGTGGTTTGGAGTGGAGAATACGATCCCTAAACTATGACAATGAGAAAAAAAGAGGATAGGAGGAAATATGAACAGCTAAGTATTTGAGCCCTAGAGTACAGGAACTGGCAACACTACATTGGCTTATGTATGAATATTTAAGTTAAATAATACAACAGAAGTGGATGGAGGAGAGAGAAATCCCACAGCTGGGGAAGAATCTCTTTGGATGTTACTATGGATATAAAACGGGGATAAACAGAGGAGGGAAGCCTTTGCAGATACAGAGGAAGAAAGCTGTTGCTTGTCTGCCCAAGGTTTAGAAGTCTCTCTCCATCCCTTCTGGGACTGCCTCTGCCATGTGGCTTCAGGTCTTGTTGCAGGCACTTTCAGTTCCTGAGCTCCCCTGTATTCTCCTGCGTGTCTCTGGTGAGCTTCTTGGTGACAGTGTTGCAGTCAGTACAGTACGGGCTCTGCTTGCATCTGTTGGGGGGAGCACATGAAGAGTTTCAGTTGGAGTTAAAAAAGAAAGAAAGAAATACAGTCCTGTTTCCAGCCGAGATCACCATGCATAGCAGGATGCAGAGCTAGTTGCATGCTGGTTGGGGTAGCTCAGCAGCAGCAAGTACCAACAGGGCTGTACTTGGCTTCAGTACCAACCACTACAGCATTGCTTGAAAAGTTCTGACCTGGCTTTTGCAACTGCTCACACAGGAGGTTTTGCTGATAGTTTTTGTCTTCCTCAGAATTTTATATCTGAGTCACCAGACTATCTCCTTAGGAAGCCTGCAGACTATTTGTTTGCATCAAGTGCTGCTTGTGCCAGCAGAGGCAGGCCACAAAGTTTCAGTGAAAGACTTGTGCCCTGCCTTCTCCTCAGAAATTATTATACAATCCCTGTTTTCCCTCTTCTTCCTCACTTTTTTTTGTATTGAGAACTTCTTGATCTTGATACTGTTTTTTCCCTGGTGTTTCAAGAGAGGCAGAAGCAAAATCTGTA